CCGCCCGGCAACTAGGGTGCACTATTTCCACGGGGCCAGCCACTAGAGGGCTGGCTGGTGCGACTTCCACTCTGGAGTGACTTATATAGAAAACATGCTAATTATATCAACCCTAACTTCACACTTTGCCATCTGTCGTTATCTGTTCCTGCTAACGGGCGGCTACGGCTCAAACATCACATCCTCGGAAAAAAAAACTGAGTGAAACGATGCGACGTCAGTCGAAAAAAGAGAAGATCGGCGCGTTCCAGCTCACGGCGGCGAGCTTTTCGAAGCAGATTTGATGTGGTGATTATGATGAGAGCATGAATGAAGGGAGCTGGCCTGCTCTGCTGCATCCTAATTAATAAAACAATAAATCCTATTAACATCAGGAGTAAATTAGGTTGTGCAACCTGACATTCGCTGAATTCTGAGCGCAGTGTAAAGGTCGATCACTCCATTTCTCCTCTGACAGTTCAGGAGAGACACCCCCCTCTCCCTCCTCCCCTCCCCTCACCCTCACAACCACTAACACCCCCCAACCCCCATCACCCCCCGCCTCCACTGACCTCTAATACAGTACAAGTGTCGGCACATGTCTGCTGTTCTTCATCTCTTTGTGGTTACACACGGCCGTACAGCAGGTTACAAAGGCAGACAAAGGGATTGCATCACATTTCCACTTCTGACATTTTTTCGTGATGCTGATTTATTGATGAAAACCAAGGTAGACTGGTGTTAACATGTGCAGGCCCGAGCCTGTGTGTGTGTCCGTGTGTGTGTGTGTGTTAGAACACATTGTAGCCGTGCACACGCTGGTGCGACAGAAGCCGTGTTTCAGAGCGTCACCGTCTTCGTCTGCTCTCAGTGTTGACTTCACTAAAAATGTTTGATTTCTGCGTCCACTGAAATGAATCTTGTTATTGACAGGACGCCTCAAACACAGTTTTTTCAGAAATTAGAATTTAAAGCAAACCTTCATTTACATTTTCAACAGCAGCTGCATAGGATTTGTCCTTGTCTTTTTCTTTTCTTTTATACGTTTTTTTTTTTTTTTTTTTTTTCGTTTTTTTTTTTTTTTTTTTTTTCGTTTTTTTTTTTTTTTTTTTTTTTCGTTTTTTTTTTTTTTTTTTTTTTCGTTTTTTTTTTTTTTTTTTTTTTCGTTTTTTTTTTTTTTTTTTTTTTTCGTTTTTTTTTTTTTTTTTTTTTTTTCGTTTTTTTTTTTTTTTTTTTTTTTTCGTTTTTTTTTTTTTTTTTTTTTTCGTTTTTTTTTTTTTTTTTTTTTCTCTGACACCCTAACAGTGAATTGTTTCTCGGTGTTTTGGCAGCAGACTTGCACCACTGCACTGCCTCCTCGCTGCTGAGCAGCTAAACGCTCCGACTGCCAGAGCTTTTCTCACCCTTTTCAAACATTTGTTTGTTTTTCACATGTACCATTTGATTCCCGTGCCTGCGTTTGGCTGGTTCGCTGAGTGAATTGGGCATGAATCAAGCTATCAAGGAGACCTTGAGTATCTTTTCAAGTTGATACAAAGGGGAAAAAAACACGTTTGTGAGCCGGCCCGGATGCTGTCTTATTGGGTTAGCTGTAGAAGTCCTGCTTCAATGTCACCGCCGAGCAGAAACAAAGCGCTTTCTGGAGTTAATTTATTCTCTCTTCATATCTGCATTATTATAACTTCACCATGTTAGAATTAATCATTCACACCAAGTGCCACTTTACAATCTAACTCCAATTTGCATCTCTGCAGCAGACGCCTTTGTCCTGAAAAATTGCTTTTATTAACTTTTATATGATGTTCCTGCCGATAACTCAGCCGGAGTGGTGTAAGTGGGTGGTAATGCTGTGGATGGGAGGAGGGTGAGGGAGGGCTGAGGGCAGTAGAGCCTCCTCACAGCAGAACACTGTGTAAATTCACAAATAGAAATGTGTAATTAATTTAAGTTGAGCAAATGGAAATACAAAATGTAAATAACACCGAGTTCATTATTACAGTTGTTTTTTTTCTCCCACTTGTTCTCATCTCAGTGTGTACTTGTTTCACACTGTTTCATACACACGTTATTGTTATTATTATTATTATTATTATTATTCAGACGCTCAAGTCTTTGGAATATTTCGTATCCTGCCATAGTGACGTTATTGTCACTGCTTTTATTAACGTTAGCTACAAAGTAGACAAAGTTTTTCTCTACAAAAATCAAACTGCCTTTTATTAAAAAAAAAAAACAAACATCTGGGTTGCTGACCAGAGCGGGGGCCATGCAGGCTACCAGACCTACCACATTTTAATTGGTTGCCCACAGCAGGGCCATACAGGCTACCAGACCTGCCACATTTTAATTGGTTGCCCACAAATGCCCTTATATGGTCAAACATGGCTGGAAAAATACCTCAAATGCCTATTTTAAAAACTTCATAAAGAAAAGGCTGCGATCTTAGATTCTCATGTTTCTCTCATCACGAAATATGTTCTTTCTCTGCTCGACTGGCCGGCCTGCACTCCAGATGTTGTATAAAGGAAAGTAATAGTAGAAAGTGATGCATTGACAGGGATTTTTTTTTTTTTCGT